TTTGAACAGTGTTGGGAATGTAGAATGTATGTCGCAATGGTTACTATGATTATTAACAATGTTAATGAACCTTCTAATTGAGGAAATCCTTCTTGTTCTCCATGTACAGAAATCCTCTTTACCAGCCAGGCACAGTGGCATAAACCTTTAATACCAGCATTTGTGAGGCTAAGGCAGAAGAATTGCATATTCAAGAACAACTAAAGCTACACAGTGAGACCCTGACTCAAAAAATGGGGAAAAAATAAATTCTTTTTAACTTTTATAGGACCAAAATCCTCTCCAGATTCTCTGTTTGTTCCTCTGGGCTTCTGTTACTTTTTTGTGCTTCTGTGGCATAATTTTTCCCCTCAGTTAATTTTGGAAGTCTTTAAATTATGTGTTACCTATTTTACCAACTTGAGCTCCTTTTCCCCTCTGCCCCCATATATTCAGTGTTTGATCAACGAGCCTTTATTTCATCTCGAACAAGTGCCCAGTACTGTGCAAGCAACTCAGGTGTTCGTTTCAATACAGTTTATAGTTCATAAAAACACCAAAATCCTAGGATTCAGTTACCTAGGGTAGTGACATACATTTTCTGAGTGTGTAAGTGATAATTGTGACTGACTGTTGTGTTTTCCAACTCACCCATCATAGGCGAATAGCTCTTTGAAGAAAGAAATTGGTTATTGCCTAATGATACTGGAGAAAGTGAGAGGTGGCGTTGATCCTCCTGCCCCAAGAAGGAGAACCACACCATCATCTGATACCTTGCCTCTTAATAGAACCTCTTAATTTTCAAAACGCTTTTACGAATGTTTTCAATTACTGATTGTCTAGGGCTCTGATAGGTCTTCTTAATAAAAACTGAAAACCATCCAAAAATCTAGATGAATTATTTAGCACTTATCTTGGATACCCACTGCGTGCAAAACACCTTGCTAGGCACAGGAATTCTACCAGTAAGTAAGAGAGATAGGACTTTCACCCTCAGTGAAGTGAATGCCAAGAGAGCTAGGGAAGGACCTCAGACTTGGAAGGTAACAAAGTCTTCTGAGGAAGCCAAGTCTATTCTTGGCTCTGAAGTTGAACTTGGATGAGGGGTAAGGAAGAAATTTCCAGTTACTCTCTTACATATTAGTTTCTCAGTGGCCATATGACAGGCTGAACATCTATTCTACTGTCTCTGGGGATGGTGAGAGACCTTGGAAAAAGCAGGTAATTCTGCATATTAAATTACAACTCACTAGGCAGCCAGTTAGATGAAAAGGTCTGGTTTTATAATCTCATTTTTTTCATGGAGTAACCATATGGTCACCTTTCAGCTGGAATACCATGCTAGGGTTGAACTACTTGGCAGCTGGTGACTATTTTTGTTCCCTAATATTAAATTTTTTTCTTTTGGCTATAAGCATGATCAATGCTAATTTTTATAAGTTGGGGAAGGCAGAAGCATAAAGAAGAAAACTTAATATACAGTAAATGCCATAATCCAGAGAATATCATAATCTTTATTTTATAATATTTCCAGTCAGCCATTTGTTGTTGATAATTTGTTCACGTTGATACTGGGCTCTTCTACATGCATAGGCCTGCATTATGGTAAGGAAAGGGAGGAGATCACACAATGGTGGGTTCAAGCGCTTAGCAAGTCTCAGTGGCATCTTATAAATATGTTTTAAAATTAATAGTGTGCTTTGGATGGTTTTTAGTTTTTAGGGATATTCCATTCTGTGAAATGTAAGTCCCATGAAAGTATGAGTGATGTGTGAATATTTTATTATTATTCCTTGCAATAACCTTGGAAGCAGGCGTTTTTCTTTTATGGCTTTACAAAGAAGTAAATTGAATAGCAGAGAACCAAGTTAATGGGCAGGAAACTACACCTGTGTGTGTTCTGCAACGGGCTCCATTTACCTGACCTAGTGGACTCTGATTCCAGAATGGTAACCAGGTTCATGTGGCACACCTGAATAAATAATGTGGTTTAACCAGAACTTAAAAAAAAGTGGTTTAACTAAAATTGATTGAGACTGTACAAGAACAGAAGGTGCTATTGACCACATGGTCCTTGTTCTGTTGTGATGTGCTTAACTACTTGGGAGAGGACTGTGTTAGACAACATTTTGTCAATACAGGAGGAGAATAGAGTTAAGGAGCTGGATAAGAGACCAGCTAAACACAGGAAAACCCCATTACATGCACTAGAAAATACTTGGAATCTGGAAACATCTAGAATTTTAATACTTTTGTGAGAACGTCATCTTCTCAAAGAACTAAAAAATTGTTGAGATTCATGTCTGGGTCAAGGAGTAGAGGTAAAGACATTATGGTGAACAAGCCAGGATAAACACAACACTTCCCCAGGCCAAAGAAATTGTCAGCATCCATGTGTCCGTGTGTGTGTGTGTGTGTGTGTGTGTGTGAGAGAGAGAGAGAGAGAGAGAGAGAGAGAGAGATAAAGTTCCACTTCTTATATTTCTACAGCCAAGAGGCCCCAGATTATATTTGAGTTCCAGATAAATATAATAAAACCAGTATGTTATATATATTACTATTATATAATAAATGTGGGTTTCAATAACACGCAAAAATACTGGCATATCTTATGGCACTGATGTGACCTGCCAGTCCCTGTTTTGGACATTAAAGCTGCATGTTGGGCCTCCCAGATCCCCTTAGTGAGGTCTATATCCTGGGGAAAATTACTTAAGCCCATAGTCACTTTATGCCTGCCGTCATATTGCCTCCATTGCCTGAAATGCCACTTTCTCATCCTAATCTGTCTATTGAAATGCCACCTGTGGACTGGTGAAACACCACCTTCTCATCCTAATTCCTTTATTGAAATGCCGCCTGTGGGTGGTGAAGTGGCTCAAGTGGTAGAGCACTTGTCTAGCAAACATGAGGCCCAGAGTTCAAACCCCAGTACTGCCAAAAAAAAAAAAAAAAATGAAATGCCACCTGCTCTTGACTTATCTATCTTTACAGGAATATTTTGTTTGCTTGTCTGATTCTTTATAACCCTCTAAAGTGCAGGAACTGTGCCAAGTTCAGTAGTTTGTACATAAGCACTAAATAATGTATTGATTCAGTGACTGAACAAATGAATGAATGAGAATGAAACTTAAGTACCACCTACTTTATGAACTTTTTCCTATTATTGGAAAAGTTCATGAAATTCTTATAAAATCTAGCTTACCTGAGGAACTTTATTTCTAATACAGGCTACACAATTCCCTTACTACATTCATTTGGTTCTTATTATATGTAAGAGATTATGTGACCTCACTAATTCTTAGAGCAACAGGTATTATCTCTATCTAGAAGGAAATAGAATTAAGAAAACGGTAGGTGACTTGGTCAAGGTCATGAAGTTGAGAAGTGACAGAGCCAGGATTTGTTCCCAGAGGTCAAAATGTCTAGAGCCCACGGTGTTTTCCACGTTCATTCACTGTGGAAATCTTGCTTGTTCTTCAAGTCCAAGCATAGATTCAGCTACCTCAGGAACCTTTCCTGCACTCCTCTTCATTGTCTATTTTCTCATCTCCTATTAGACTGTAGGCCTGTGAAGCAGGAGTCATGCTTCCCTTCTTCCCATCATCCCTCTCCCCCTTTTTAAAAGCCATTCTGGGGTTTGAACTCAGGCCTTTGTATTTTTAGGCAGATGCTCTACTTCTCGGGCCATGCCTCCAGCCTCCCATTTTATGTAGTCACCATTGCTCCTATGAGGTTGTTGGGAATGGGATTCCTGTCTGTACTGGGCAAATGAGAAAATGGTGGCTTTGGAATTTAATATTATAGTGCCACCCTGTCAGAGCCAGGGGTAGAACCAAAGTCTTCCGTGGAAGACAATGCATTACCAATCCTCTTACCAACAACTCAGGGCAAATGATTAAGTTCATAGAGTTCTAGAATTACAAGAAACCATGTGATTGCCATGATCAACACCCACATTTTAGACATTCCACTTAGAAAAAGGAGGTGACTTATCCAAGACTGCAGAGAAAGAAGAAAGACAGGAAAGATGAGAAGACAAAGAACTTGCAGTTGGATCAAAGGTTTAGTCTCACTTTGATACTTAGTTCTTGCTGATTGACACACAGTATCAAGTGTAAATTATTCAGCTTCAAACCAAGCTGACAATTTCTTTCTGTTTATTGTCCTTGGTCTATATACAGAGACAGCTTTTCTCTTTGTAAAAACTCCATTTGTTCCATCTCCTGAAGGCTCCTCCTAGCTGCAGGCCTCTTTTCTGCAATCCCCCATCCTCTTACCAGCCTTTTGTTTCCACCGCGATGCCAAGTCAGCCAATCAGCATTGTTTGTCTCCCTTCCAGCTGTGCCCAACTGAGGCCATTTCCTGAGCCAGCACTGCAATTCCTGAAATATTAATGGCTCCCTTTGTGAAAAATAACACCGGGAAGTTTATTGTAAATTAAAACTGCAGGAGAGGCAGAAATGGAGGAAATAAAGTGAAACCACAACATGAAAATGTGTCAGAGTTAAGACTAAGATGAAGGAGGACATCCTTAGCTAAGTCTTATCCATCATAGTGCTGGAATTTTGCAGTAGGGAATGCAGCTGCCATGGGCTGAGATCCACTGTCTTCACTGTCTATATAGGGAGTATAGCAGAGTACACCCCTGGAGTTTTGCCTGGTTGGCTCCTCTTCTGGGTGCACTGGGAGAGAGGAACAGAAAATAACTGATCAAATTTGTAGATAAAGGGAATAGAAGTTTCCTGGGATTAAAATTGCATGAGACATGCATGGGGCATGAACAACTGAAGGACACTGAAGAACAATCACTCTAAACTCAAATGCAGAGATATGTGGTTCCATCCTTTGTCCAAACTTTAGATAAAGTGAGCACTTTCTGCTTTAATTATTTGATTCCCCAGCCATACTCTGTCATTGTCATCACTGTAGTCCTGACACCGTGGCACAAATCACAATGCTAAATTGTATTTTCAGAATGAATGATTGGAGAGAGGGAGGGTAGAGAACAAAAACCAACCCTTGATATTTGTAGTATAGTGAATTTAATATTTTTATTTGTTTTATGAGGAAAGGAATACAAAGGGCTGGGGACAGAGATTTCATAGGAGGAAGAAAGACAGTGCCACCTTTGCAGAAGACACCTCCAAGCTACACATAGAAAGGAAGTGGATCCTTTTGGCAGCCTTTCCCACTCAGAAAATCAGGACCCATCCATGCAACCTTGCCAGCAGCTCTCCAGGGCTTGAGGGTATATGCCAGCCTTTCCACGAATCCTAGACATGCCTTGAGCAGCAGGTGACTCAAAACCCCTTTTCCATTTTCCAAAGCAACCTGGCTACTCTCATCTCCCCAACTTCCCAATCTGAGTCCCATTCTCTGACCTTTCTCTTATTGTTTTTAATCTTACTTGAGACTGATTCTGACAGGTTCCCCTTTTTCCCTGCACTCATGTTCATTACTGGATATGCTAACATGCCTCTTTGAATTTGGGAAATTCTTCCAACTTGAAGTCTTTTAGCTCAGCCTTCAAACCCTTCCACACCTCCATCTCACCTGCCAGTCCCCTCATCCTGGAGCATGGAGCTCTGCACCTGGATTTCTAAAGATGCATGGCTTCTGTGGAGGGGGAGAGTAGGTACCTGTCCCCTCAAGGCAAAAGGAATGTTCTCAGGGAGGATCCTAGGTGTCATTGAAATAGATTTAGCTGTAGAAAACCTTTATTGCACCCCTTCTCAAGCTCTGCCCCTCCTTCCCTCCAAATTCTTTATGCTAAACGTGGAGCTCATTTTATAGTAAAAGCAGTAGCAATGCTGTGGAGGTATGCCAGGAGGCAGGGTGTAAACATGCACTCTATATGTGGTATGTAAGAAAACCACACCAATCATCTGAGATGGTGCTATGAAATGTGTTGAAAGTGAGAAATGTGACTTAACTGTGATGTAATTATAAGTGTGACACTTGTCAGAAAGGCCCAAGCAGCTAGCATGGCAGCTCCTGGCTTAGGGAGAAGAAAAGACAGCAGTAGAAAGAGCCATAGGAGTTCCAACTGATGTTAACACATGTGATACCCTCAGGGCTCCTGGCCTCTTTCCCTTCACCGAGATTTGGTTGTCGACAAATCTAAACATTTTCAAATTCGCAGTCATAATCAGTCATCCGGCACATTATGAACTTCCACTGGCGATCCCTGTTGGGGGAGAGTAAGAAAACTAAAGTCAGTGAGGACAATCACCTGCCATAGGGAGGATTCATTACTAGAGAAAAGCAAGGAAGGACTTTTGCAAGATCCCACAACTGAAGGGTCATCTAACCTCACTTTGCTCTTAGAAGACTTCTCTATGAAGTCTCCAGAGAACTGACCTGTCTGGGAAGTCAAGTTGCCTTTTAAGGGGACCAACTAGGTTATTGGCTGTGTGGAGGCTCCTGTTCAAACTTGGTGGTCAGCATTCCATGGATCCCCCAAAGTACCTGTAGGTTATGAACTTGAAATAAAAGCATTTATTTAACATTATCTTCATTTTAGCTACAACAGGACCTTTCTGGGGGTTGGTACCAGTGGGTGGAGGGAAGATATAAGGAAAGTGTGTAGGAGGGTGAATCTGTTGGGAAATTATGCACTGATGTATGAAAATGGAAAAATGAGACCTTTGAAACAATTCCAGGACTGGGGGGAGAGGCAATAAAGGAGAATGATGGAGGGGGTGAGTTGAACTATGATTTATTATAAGAACTTTGGTAAGTGTTACAATGCACCCCCAGTACAACAATAAAATGATAATAAAAAATAAGGAAAAAAAGATTCTTCTTTCTAAAAGGCCATGCATTTTCTCATTGATTCTTCCAGTTCTGAATATTCACCATGTACTAGGCTCTAGGCTATATATTATGTATTCCCCTTCAGAAAGTGTTATTAGAAGAGAAATGATGTGAGGGAAACAGCTCTAAAAAGTGAGAAACAAAATGCCTGCCATTCTTGCACATCAGAAATGAAATTGCCTATTTATTTAAGTGGTGAGGATGGGTATAAGAAAACACAGGATTGCTCAATTTTGAAAAACAAGGCATGGATACATGTCAAGCAATATTCTGTGCTAAGAGCAAGGCTATGTTCTTTATTTAATAAAAATGTACTGAGTGTCTAAACTGCCTGAAACTCTTGTAGTCTAATATCACTTAACAGTGACTGTGATAATTGTAACTACTATATAATGAGCACTTGCAATGTAGCCAGACTGCACTAGACAGTATGCATGGCTTCTCAATAACCTTCACACTGACTCACCATTTAGGTGAAGAAGCTGACTCAGAAATAAGAGACTTCTTTTAATACAAGCAATACGAGCAATGAATACAAGCAATACAAGCAATGAATGATGATGTCAGATTCTGAATTTGTAGACCAAAGTTTTGGTCTTTCTCTTATAGCAACTCTGTTTCCCTAATAAGTACCCATAGCCCCACTAGAGAGCACAACAACTCTGCCCTTTGCAAAGTTCTAAGAGAGGGCAAAAATACTTTTTCCATGTTTAATCATACAAATCCTTTCACCTCAGAATTATCCTCCCATTTCAATCTGCCAGACTTCTTTTCAACTCATTTTAACCTAAACAGCATGGTCTCCATCCAATTACTGAATAGAAGTGGGACTGACCACTGTTCCTTTTGGGAGGGATGGTGCTTGGTACTAATGCAGCTTTCCTGATTCTGACTATATTGCTCCAGGGTGTTTGTTTAGTGAAATTGGGAACAGAATTCCTTAGCACAAGTCTTTGAGGACCTAGATAATCAACTATTAGTTGGTATCTGTTCCTGCAATTGTCAACCGAGGATATAGCTTGTTTTAGATATTTAGCAAACTGGTGTGTTTACCAAATTTCATTATTACAGCCAGATCTTATGTATCTATGTACAAAGAAACAAAGATAAAAAAGATCTTATGGCCAGGCATTCATACTGCTCTTTTAAAAGGCAGCTAATTGATGCTGACAAAAATTGAAAAGTGGTCCCAAGAGGAAGAAGGAATCAACTAGGATCAGTCTCTGGTTTCCTTCCAGGACAGTGGTACCACGGCCAACTTTGCTCCCTAGAATAGATTTGACAAAGTTGCAGACAGTTTTGCTTGTCACAATTCGGGGTGGACTGCTAGAAGCATCTAATGGGTAAGCTAAACATCTAGAATCACAGGACAAGTCCAGAAACACAGAATTTTCTGGTCCTAGATGTCAAAAATAGGTAGGTTGAAAAATTCTTTTCCAGGAGGAAAACACCATGAGTTTCGTATGGAGTGGAGGCCCTGTACTGACAGTATTTCCCCAGTTTGGGGGCCTCACCATCTTCAGCAGAATTTAAGAAACCCAAGTTTAAGTCACCGATGATTTGTGTCAGCAGAAAACTGCATAGGTGTGCTCATTTGGGAGGGGGAGTATTCATTTTAAAACAATGCAGTGACATAATACAAGTCCAAGTTTCTATGTAATCTATATCACTGAAAATTCCAAGCCAGCAGGAATTGAGCATTTTAACTTCAAAATAGATTTATTTCACAACAACTGTTTTCTTTCCTGCCTTCTAAGTTAGGAAACATAGAATCAATTTTCTTTTTTACCTGGAAACATCACCAGTACATTGAGCACCTGTTACACTGCTACTAAGCTTTGTACTCTAGGGAACACATCCCTGCTAAGTGACAACAGGTTTCCATATCCTTTGAGTTCTTGTGTCTTTATTTTTCTTTCTTTAATTTCTTAAACATTTTTGTTGTGTGTATATTATCATTCAGCTGTTTTGTTCTCACTGATGAAGTGAGTTTTAATATAAATACTATTCTCTTTCTAATAGTCTGCCTTTGAATACAGGTAACATAATGGGTAAGCATAAGGATTTTCATTCATGGGGTCTGAAACATACATTGTTTTCCAGAGCAAATTGATGTCTTTTAAAAATCTGCATGCCAGTTGAGTGAGATGCAATTTCATTTGAAAACATAAATAATAAATATACACAAAAGGTAAATAAATCATACTCAAATTCATCATAGTCCATTATCTAATGACTTAATGATGCAAGTTTTATTCATTTTGCAAAATATATATTTGTAACTTTCCAGGAATTCATTTCTGTGTATAGTGATTATCACCTGATTAAAAGTGGGTCAAACCAACCTTTATCTGAGTTTAGCTGTACCTCTTCATGTATTAATAGAAAGGCTGGGGTTACACGCTATACAAGGATCTTGTGTACAGGAAATTTGATTCTTGTTTTCTTATTGTTTTGGTGTATTTGAGAAAGGGTCACAAAGGTGATTATGAGAGAAGCCATCATGTTTTTTTCTTTTAAGTTACTTTAATTATCTTCTTTCATTAAAGAAAAAGTCCAGTTTTATCAAGGAATGACTTAGTCCTGCTTCATTTCTGCATATGATTAATAGGTGCCTTGGTGGGAGTGTTAGTACAGAATTTTTTATGTTGGAACCTAATACCCAATGTCATAGAATTAAGAAATAGGACCTTTTGGAGAGTGATGAAGGCTCTGTCCTTCATGAATGGGATTAGTGCCTTTATAATGATGCTGAGGGGAGCTGCCTTGCCTCATCTACCATGTGAGACCATAGTGAGAAAATGTCATCTTGATCTTAGATTTTCTCTTATCTAGAACTTGAGCAATAAACTTCTGCTGTTTATAAATTACTCGATCTAAGCTATTATGTTATAGCAGCCTGAACAGACTGAGAGAGTAGTTTTGTGTGTTCCTTTCCTCCAATCCCCTCCCCTTCTCCTCTCTCTCTCCTTTCCTATATCCCAAAGGGGTGATCATATGGAGGCAAAGGATTGGAGGTTGTCCAGCTTGACAGTGGGTACTTCTCCAGCCATTTTACCCCTCTCCTTTGCTATTTGGTGAGAAAAAGTGTCCTTTAAAACTGATTATAGGGAAGAGCTTAGAACATCAAGTGATACCAAGTTTGGAATCTGCTGGGTAGCATGGTGGAATCTATCCTCATCTTCAAGGGTGAGCTGTTTTGTGAGGTGAGTTCCTAAGAACATCTCACTTCTCATTGCCTTCTGCTGCAGAGCCAAACTCCCAGTTAATCTTTGACCAAATAGGAACTAAAATCAGATAAAAATCCCTTCAGACGAGATCTTTGCATGGAATTAGGCTGTACCTCTTTTAACCCCCACCCATGGGAAAGGGATTATCCTTCTCACCTTTCCACTGCAGAGAAAGTGGTTGTTGCTCCTCTAATGTAGTAATCATAGTTGTAGGACATCATGTCTATTTCCTCCCCATAGTGGCCTGGATATTCTGTTGTTAGCCTGTGTGGTAAGAGCAGTGTTACAGGAAACAGATCAGATAATTATTGTCGCTGGAGCAAACAGAGGATATATGATGAAGAAAATATTAAGTTTGAACATTTTGGGAGATTGAAACTGGAGTTAGATTGCCTCCACCAAACCATTCTAGGTTACAAAGACAGAGCTCTTTTATTTCTCACCTTCCTTTTCCTGGCCATTAATCTGTACACTGAAAAATACGTAGTTAACTCCCTACGCTTTGAAGCAGTATTGAACAGTATTAATATTAATCCCATTCTATTCAAGTCAGCTAAGACAATGCTTTCAAACTGTGGATTATGATTCATTATTAGACTATAAAAATCAATCAAGTTGGTATGACTAGCTCTAAAAAAGAAGAAACAAAATAGACCAGGAAATCAGATAATGCATTGCATGCAGTATAGTTAATGACTATGAAAATTTAGTTTCAAATATGTTTGTGTACTTATTTTATGTAGATATTGTGTGATAGTTTAGTATATATTGGTTACCATAACTAATAATAAGGAAGTTTTAAAAATATTTAGCTAAAATCTGAGCTCCACAAAGGCAGAGTTTTTGTCTGTCTACCAACCAGTATTTCTCTGGCAGCTACAACAGTTCCTGGTATATAGTAAATATTTGCTGAATAAAAAATGGCTTTGGGAATCTGTTTCCTGGTCTATAAAAGAATGAAAGCTGCCTTATATATTTTTCATTGTTACTAATAAAATATGTGTGATATAATGGTATATGGCAGGTGTAGAATAGTTAAAAGCTATCTTATTTCTTCCTCTTTCTCCACCTTTCCCTCCTTTCTCTCTCAAGACTGAGTCAATACTGGTTTTACTATGAATAGGCTCATTGTGGTTCATCCTAAAATAAATCTATAACTCCCTCAATCTCATAAGGGCTTTATCACTGGGGTCTTCAGGAACAAAATAGTTCTTTCAGCATGAAGTGGATTCTCCAAAGTCTTTACCTGAATCTTTAAGACTGCTCTGAAAACAACTGGTTAGTGATTATCAATAATTTCATTTGAATTGAGTTTGGAAGGCTATGGTGTATTTATGATAGAAAGATCTTCCCTTCTGCAGACTGATGATCTTTCTTTTAAGATTATAAGGATTATCATGAAGTATTGAAAAGACTGATTTATGATTTGGAAAGACTCCTAGGAGGATCTCAGTGCTTAGGTACAGCAAGACCAAGATAACCAGGAATTAGCCAGAACTCTAAACCCCACTCTCTTGACTCATAATCATTTCTTTTTTCCACATTACTCATTTGTTTTTGTTCTATGATTGTCTCTTCTTAAATAATTATGCAGTACCTGATTTCAAGCCCAAACCACAGTAGATTGCATGCATTTTTGCTTGAGGAATTCATGAAGGGGAGGTAACTAGAAAGAGCTCTTATGACTTCTAATGAAAAAATCAGCTAAATGTCTCACAAACTGACCTAATGGGGCTCACTTGAATTGATCTCAATAGTTTGTGGTCTGTAAGGATCCTAATATGAGCATATTAAAGTTTACCCAAAGAAAGAGGGATTGTTGAGAACATGAATAATGTAAATAGGGTTTTGTGGGGGGAAGTTTATTTCGGAGAACATAAAAGACTTCTAGAATTTTGGAAGGACTGTTTGGATACAAGGTGTAAAAGTCAATTATCAAACATTTTTATTTCTGCTAAGGCAGTATCTATATTTGGTAATGGTGCATTTGGCTAAATCCAATTGCCAAAACTATTGGAAAATAATTGGGCTTAATATACTGAATGGAAAGCTCCATTATGTGTTGCTGGACTATGTTGGAAATATTTGGTCAAATGTATGTTAGTTTTGCTGTAATGGCATTGAAAACAAATAAGCAAACAAATAAGAAGCTGTGAAAATGGCCTTGGAGCATTATCTTCAAGTTACTTTTAATACAGTCCATGTTAAAATAATTTTTATTAATTTAGAGAAGGTAATCAATGTGAGAAAATGGACTTTCTTTTTGTGGTCATTGCGAGTAATTGCTTTTTCTTTACTTAGTTTCACATCTTCCTTTGTTCTACAATGCAGACTGACATCTAACTTTGACAGTCCTAGTATGTTGTATTTTCCTGAGGGCAGGGAAGAATAACTTATAGTGCTGTTTAGTTTTGTATAATTGGTGTGTTGATGAATTTTTAAACTGTGTGCTAACTGCAATAAATTACATGAACCGAAAAAAAATTGGGCTAGAGTTTTGTTGATTTCTCTTATGTGTCCTCGGATTATATGGATAGCTGAATATATTTGCAATAAAGTAGAAAAGAAATACTTGACGTTTTAATAAACATCAAAAAGTTTCAGCTGGTGGTGTCACTCAAGTGGTAGAGTGCCTGCCTCGCAACCCTGAGGCCCTAAGTTCAGACACCAGCACCAAAAAAAAAAAAGAGAGAGAGAGAAAGGAGAGAAAAAAAGTAAAAAGGAAAATACTTCAGAAAGAAAAAGAAAAATGTTTTAGGCTCCAAAGGGGGAATTGTTACCCAATGCTTTCCCTGCTCACTTTTGGTAGTGAACAGACAGGGGCTCCCTGCTCAATCGGACAGCTTTTCTGGAAAGCCTCTTTGGGGTCAGAACCTGTTATCCAGTGAATTTATAGATGTGCCAATGAGCATGTCCTCCCTGCCAAACTTACTTTTGTTTGACTTTTGGCGGTGGTTGTTTTGTTTTCATTATAAATGTATGAGATCAAGTTTAGACTACCTTACAGAACCCTGGGTTAAGAGGGATATTTATGGAAATCACCCCTACTGTGTGAAACTAAAAATATGGAAGGAGAAATAGACCCAATCACTGGTAGAAAGTGAACCTCCCAACACCACCTCCAGCAAGTGCTTTTGTTCCAGTATGGGCCAGATTTTTGTAGTTTTGAACAAGACAAATATTTCTCCATTTAGTTCACACACAGACATGGACATAGACAGACAGACAGACACACACACACACACAAACACAGTCCCAATAAATGAAAGCCCCAATAATAGCTCCTCAGAAAGAAAAACGAATACATACTTAAGAGCTAGAGCCTGAGACAGGGCATGGGTTCTAGGCAGGAAATTAAAAGAGACTAAAGGAAATGGAACGATCAAGGTTTCATCAGTTGTGATATTGGCCTTCCTGAGGGTAGATGGGGGAAGAATTCAGTGTGGTTCCAACTTTCTTGTGAGTTATGACATCACTTCAGCCAGTATTTTGATAAAGCCTCTTCATACTGAGCATCGCTGCACATTTCTAGACCAATTAAAACAAGACGTAAGCTTGGCAAGATGAAGGGGAAATCAGGTCTTGAAGGGGTCTTTATGCAAGTTATTAAACTGAGTTTATTTTTATAGAATGTAAGGAGAGCTATTGGGAGCCCTGTTCCCCCCATTTCAAAAGACCTCCTTCTCTCTCTGTGTGTGTGTGTGTGTGTGTGTGTGAGAGAGATGTAATTTTTCATTTTCCCATACCTTCTCGGCTGTCTATAGGCGAGGCAAGAAACAGAATTGTTCCAAATTCAAGAGAGAGCTTGATAACATAAGACCACTTATACAACTTCTAATGACAGATGGGGTTGAATGAGAAAGAAATCAAATAATATCTTAGTTATGAGCTGAAGAAAACCAGTTTGAACTGATAGGAGTTGTAGATTGACATAGGACTCTCCCATCTAACATTCTTAAAGCACTGAAACTATCAACAGATCCAACTAAACTCAATGAACGTTTGCTGATCAATACAATACCATAGACTGATCTGGTACTGATGGATGTCATAGCTCCTGTGCAATAGGAATAGGACATATTGTAGAGTTGAAACCAGATATATGGTATCATACCAATTTTGAAGAGTAGAAAAGAGATATAATTTATTTCCAGAAGGTGGCCAATATTACTCATTGTCAGAACTTCAGTGAGAACTAGGTTTCAATTACTTCTCAAAATAAAATGACTCAGTATAAGATTGTATGACAGCTCATTTTTACTAGACCCTATTTATTTATTAAATGACCTAAAATCAATCCATGGCACTGAGAGCTGTATGTATCCATCTGATCTGAGTACAGTTAGGACAACTGATTATTCAGCTTCATTCTGCAGGCTCTTCTTTGGGATATATTTGTTCCTACTTGTGAGCATATTCTGTCTTGTCTCATGACCCCAAGTCAGCAAGAACTACATCTTCAACCTTATCCCACTGTGAGGAAGCCAGAAAGGAACATACCAAAGACTCCCTATGCAAAAATTGGAAGAAATACTCAGCGTTTACACGTTAACAAACCAAAATGGGAGACCTAGGGAGCCATAGTACAGCTTTTTTAAATTGACATGTTTTCTAAGACACTATTTGCAACTCAGCTTATGCTCAAACAACATTCCAGAGATGCTTCTTCATGTTGTTCAATACTAAATTCTGTTTTATTCCTTTTTTCTCCACTATTCAATTAGTACCTTATTTAAATATCTTATGCTAATGTACTATGGCATGTCAGCCAACGTATTTAGAATTTGGTTAAAATAATAGAATAGTGCACAACATCTTGTTCCATGCTTATGACCAATATAGTGAGTTCTTTGAGGGATGGACCACTGGTACATGACATCTAACACACATTTTGTGATCTAGATCAGAAGTTGGCATGGAGGAGAAATTCAACAGGTATAGACTTGATGTGTTGGCAAACCATTAAGAACTTTATTAAATAAACCTAGTTTGTTCATGCTCAAGCCTCTTTTTTGGGGGAAGGGGTCAGTTCTGGTGTTTGAAAGCAGAGCCTTAGGCTAGCTAGGCAAGAGTTCTACCATTTGAACCACATCCACCAGCCCTATGATCAAGCCTCTTGCACAGTGCTTTTCCAGGTAAGAGAAAAGGAAAGAGAATATTTTAGAGTAGATGACTTTGTCAATGTCCTGGCATTCTTAACAGCTGTTTCATCAGAACCTGTTTGAATTATTTTTGCAAAGAAGGAAAAATAAAACTTAAGTGCA